TTTTTCATATTTTCGAAATTTTGACTTTTCTAATTGATTCAGCGGCTCTAAATTAGTCAAAAAAAACTCTAACATCATTACAAAATCTTGATTTCAACACAGAGAAAAATTAAAAAGAAAATCTCAATTTTTAGGTTTAAATTTTTTTTTGAATCCTGATAAGGTTAAAAGCAATTGCCAATACTTCTTTTAAATTTTGAGCAAAACAAAATAAATTATATATGGTTGGAATAAGCATTAAATTCTCTATATAAATCACTGTTTGATAGCTCAAATACTTTTAGAGCAATTGAGTCTCAAAGTTGGATTTTAGTTGAAATTTAGTCAAAAACTTCAAACTCGATTTTCTCAAAAACCAAAAATGCCAGCGACTTCAACTAAGTACCATTTTGAAGCCCTAAAATAAATCACATTACCACATCAGTTTATAGACCTCAGAATAATGGAGCCTTAGAACGCTCTCATTCTACGCTAAAAGATTATTTAAAGCATTTTACCAATAGAAGTCAAGACAATTGGGACGAATTTATTCAAACTGCCTCGTTTTCGTATAAAATTCTAGTTCATTCAACTACTCAATTTACACCATATAAGTTAGTGCTTGGCCATAAGGCAACATTACCCAATAAAATAACAAAAGACCCAGAATTCCACTAACAAACAACTTCAGTTGAGATTAAATCAATCGTTTCAAATTGCTAGAGAAAACATTATCAATTCTCAAATGAAATCCAAAACCTACTACAATAAAAAAAATTAATGATTTTAATTTTTCTGTAGGCGACCAAGTTATGATAAGGCTTCAAAGCCCGGAATGGAATAAGTAAAAAACTTTCCCCAAATTTTAAGGGATCATATAAAATAACAAAAATAAACTCGAATAATTCGGTTCTCTTAAAAATAAAAAATAAGCTAGTATCTTAACACAAGGACTTATTAAAACCATTTATGTTAGACAAAAATGAAGCTGATGCTGATAAATTACACGCTACGTGCTCTTCTCATAATTACGATGTGTCACGCCCACCTATCGCAGACGGAGGAGCAGGCTTATCAAATAACACCAATTAATAACTAAGCAGACATCTTTTACCAATTTCTAGGGACCGAAAAATTATACGATGATAATTTTACTCTCCTTTCGTTTTCAAATATTTCCTTTTCCATTCATAAATTCCGAGTTGTGGAAAAAATATATGCAAAATCGAAAAACATATGTCATGATTCCAATCTTGGAAATAATAAAATATACATACGTGCACATAGTAATCTCTCAATGAGACTGTTCGAATTAGAATTTCGAGGAGTCGTATAATGAAATTCGTTTTTATGTAAAGTACATAAATCTGTTACAATTGCATTTTTAAATTCAGTTTCGTTATCAGAAGTAATTCTTTGTGGAATTCTATGGTCACTGAAATATCTTATTAGTTGTGATGCAATCTCAACAGAAATTTTGTTAATAATTGGGATAGCTTGTGCAAACTTCGAAAAGCTGTCAATAATTGTTAGGAATTTTTGATTCGAAACAACGTATGCATCAATAAATATAAAGGAGTTGAACCGATTGGAGTTGGTTTGAATATTATTTTGTAGGGTTGCCTTTCATATTTTGTCTTATTACATATTTCGCATGGTCTGACATATGCTTGTACGTCTTTTTCTAAATTGGGTCAATAATATCGTTTCTTCGACAAAAGAATTGGAAATACATAACTTGAACAAATTCGAATTGAATGATGTACTTAGAACTCTTAGTAATGGGATCTCAAATTAAGATCGTAGCGCCGTAGCGTCAAAGAGCTCAACCATTTTCTAGTACATTGGTTCATAACCTCACTTTTGTAATTTACATATGATTTACATTAGCTTGAACGTTTGTCTTCTGTTCATGGCTCTTGATACAGGCCAAAATTCAATATAATCTATTTCGTTTACCTGACCCAAAATGGTCATATCCATACAACAGCCTAAACGGATCTTTTTCTTATATTTTTATAAACTTTCCACAATTAGGATTAGGTCATATATTCTTATAATTGGGAAGTATTAATAGAATAAAGCCAAGGATTTGGTTGATTCTTGTTAAGGAAATATTCATTTGACCATATTCAAAGACATGGCGGCCTTGGCTCAAAAGCGTTTTACTTTAGTTTAAGATATCCTTTTTATCTGCGCATAATATGCATAAACCGAGAAAATATATCTTTTTAAAAATATTTCGAGCAAAGATATTACCTAATAATGAAAGTCAGGAGAGGGAGGAAGCAGACTGTAGTAACAGAGGAAAATAGTGAAAGGGTAGAAAACATTATTGGACATTTTATGATCACAAGACTGTGGATTTATGAAAAAAAAAAAAAAAATACATTTATCAGGCCACTTATACATGAGTAACGTCTGAATTCATTTGACGTCTATTTTATCTTGAATTACTAAGAAAAATAATTAAATTTTCAAGACGATCATCTTAAATTCCCAAGAGTAAAACGTTACTTGACAGCTGTTAAAAAAATATATAAATTTATCAGAAATCTGATATTCAATGATGATATTTTTGTTTTTTTTTTTAATTCATCAGACGAATAGACGATTGTCTGATAAATTTCTAAGGAAGGAAGGAAGTTTACGAATTTATCAGACATTTTCAAGATGTTGCCTATTACTGAATGCATCAGACGACTTATAAATCACCAAAATTCCTTTGATTCGAAAATAGTGTCTCAATTTATATTGAATCAGTAAATGTAGTGGTAAGCTTTCAAGAAGATGTCTTAATTTAATTTCCCAAATTTACTAGACATAAGTATGAAAATTTATTAGATAAATTGTCTTGAATTTCTGAGTCTTAATTTACTAGACAACTAACTTAGTTTTTTAAATGTCTTAAGAAAATGTTTAAATATACCTAGGTATCAGACAAATGTCTCATATTATACTGAGAATTTGTTGAAAATTTATCAGACGATTATTTTACATTAATATTTTAAAAAAATCAAACAATCTTTTACATTTTTACTTCTGAGAACATGCCTTAAATTTCTTGAATGAGTTGATTATTGTGATGTGAAATTGAAGATTGTGTTGGCTTGGACAATCCTGGAAATGTTTGGTTTAAGTGCAAAATAGTGTACAATGTACAATGTACGGTCTGCAGCAGTTACTATCATAAGAAATACGAAAAGTTCGATATGCGAGGCTTTCACATGAAAAAGTCCACTTGGAAATGTTCCATATGTGATCCATTGCCAAATGAGGTTATAGCAGAGGTGACTGCAAACAGTATGGAAGATTGAAAAAAAATAAGCCGAACGGAAGATAGTTATTTGGATCAAAGTGTTTTACTTGGAATTCATGAAACAATAAAACATTTGGTCAATACCATGAAGAAATTGCAGGAAAAAATCGATTTATTAGTAGCAGAAAATATTAACCTGAAAAAAGAAATTTCCGATCTAAAGGGGGTTATGACAGCCCCTCCTGGCGTTTTGCCTGCATTATCAGCATCTAACATCTGTAACCACACAATAAAATATTGGTAGCTAAACAAAAACAGGGTTCCTCTCAAAAAGACGTGACACAAATAAAAGATGATTTACGTACCAAGGTGATTCCAAGTGATATTGGTGCTGAGGTTACAATTGGGGCCTCATTCTAAGTCGTGGGAACAAAAAATCAGTTGCAAGTGTACAGTCAGAAATCCAGAGTAAACTTGGTAAAACTATGATGTTGATCGACCGAAATTATTGGAAAAACGTATTAAAGCTATTGGAATTAATGAATGGGAATTTAACAACAGTGAAGAGGAAATTGTAGCGAAAGTGGGGAACCAAAACGACCTGGACCCGAATAAAAAGTCAAAAATAAGGTCCAGATCAAAAGTTCATAATAGTAGATCCAATATTGTGTTTGAAGTTGACAACAATACTTACAATATAATATACCTACTAATAGAAAAACAGAGAATGAATATTGGGTGCATGGAATCGGTGCCATGTTGTCTGGGATATGAATAAGTGTGAAACCTACCAGAGAATGGAGCGACTTCAAAGAAACAAATTTATTGAGTAGCAGTTAGATGCAAATATTGACCTTAACTGCAGTGTTGTGTACCTACTTCAATTTCCAAGGCTAACTCAACAATAAAGACAATATTACTGTTTTGGTTACAGATTACTGTTCTTATCAGAAACCCATGTGTCTGAAAATGTTGATTCAATAGAACTGAAGATTGATGGATATAATTTGGAACAATGTGTAACAACTAACCAAAGAACTGTGGGAGTCATGGCCCTAATATAAGAACTGACGTTAAATATAAAATCAAAATAGTGTAGTGTATCCAGAACTATGTATGGTTGTTATCTCTTGAACTAGGCTCAACAAATTCGAAGTTTCTATGCACCGTATTGTACCATCTGCCCCAGAAAGAAAATACAAATTTTGTTGACTTCTTTGCAGATTAGGTACCTACCTACCTAGATCAGTTGAGTGATTTTAGAAGTATTAATGTTATAATGGGTGATTTTAGTTTTGATCTCTTGAAAGACTGTTCCTATGGGAATAAATTATCAAAACTATATATTCAAATGGATTTAGTCAAATTCTAAGCTCCCCAACTAGAATTTCAGCAACGAGTGCAACTTTCTGAATATATCAGAAAACAGTGTCTTCAGTCATTTGACGTTAAATTTTTGTTTAAAGAGGTCTATTCCAACACAGCAAGAAACCGTACAATGTACCGTCACAATTCTGCGCAAAGCGTAAAATTCGTTCACTGAGTGGTTATAAAACCGTTCAAGGGACGGTTTTTGACATATTCGAACAGACCTAAAATTTCACAGTATTTAATTAAACCAAATTATTAATTTATAAAAGATAAACTTAATCCTCATTTATCTTAGTCTAAAAAGAAATTAGGTAGGCAATAAAAACACCAAAAAGATCCTAAATATAAACCAATAATTTATGATGGATTATCAATAATAATAATAATTATTGAACATTTAGTTAATTGTTATCAAATCATTCGTTTTGAGACAAACCAAAATGAGGCTGCAATATTTGCTTATATTATTTGCTGTAGCTGAAAGCAAACAGGCCTTAATCAAGGGTAATATTTCAATTATTATTATTTTCATTAATTAAATACAATATATTTTCTTAGATCAAGTTGGCTTCTACAATGTAAATGACACAATCAAGATAGTGGGTGGTGAACCTACCGATATTTTGAATTTCCCTTATCAAGTCTCTTTGCAATATTATTACAGGCATATTTGCGGAGGCTCTATCATATCACAGAGATGGATTGTGAGCGCCGCTCATTGCACTCAAATGTAAGTATAACTGATGAATTTGACTTTTAATACCTAGTCAATTCTTAAGAAATTGTATTTGAAATATATTGAATAAGTTTCTGAGAAGCTCAATTTGGGTATTTTATTTTGATGTTGACGTAACTATTCTTTACACTCGAGGTTGAACCTATAGAAAAATTCAAGGAAACGTCAGAATACTTATTATAAACTTTCGAGAAAATACGTTATAATAATTATTTCTTCTTAGCTCGTGGCTTTCAAATACGGCACCACTAGCAGGCTTCACAGTCCGCGTTGGAAGCTCCTTCGTCCAATCAGAAGGCAGAGTTTTAGCTGTATCCAACATCGTAGAACATCCCGTCTACGGAAACTCAGCGGCAAGCGCTTACGATTACGATATCTCTCTAATTATGGTTTCCAGCCCGATAAGCTACAGCCCTTCAATTCAACCCATACCATTACCACCTATAAACCAGGTAATGTCATGTTTTTTTAATATTTCTTAACCTTGTTTTTTATCTATATATCTATGTTGGTTACACCATTTATAACTCGAAAACGGCTGAACCGATTTTTATGATTTTTGCTTTGTTGGATTTGTCCTTGCCCCGACTAACATAATAACCATTGGAACATAAACATTTACATCAAAAATTCATTAAATCCGTATACGGCGCGCCGCCATCTCTAATAACCGATACGAAGTTTGCCACGTCATAGTTTTATTTCTGAGCCTTGAATTGACTTCAAATTTACCCTATTTGATAAAAAGATCCTGATTATTGAATTCTGAAAGTTTCAAGTCGATCTGACACTCCAAAGTATTTTTCAGGATTTTTCAAAAACGTGAATTTTGTGTCTGAAGTGAGGTTCTGGTGTACTCAATTTTCAAGGTGGTTCACCTCTTCCCTTGCGAAATCATGTCAAAGTTTGACATATCAGTTTGAGAGTTTGCACAAGCATAAAATATCTTTACATTTGTTAATTCCTCAGGACACTTCTTCATAATGCTAATGGCCAAGGCAAAAACTAATTCACTTAGGTGTTTTATTATACCAGCTTTTCAAAAAATAGACAGACTATAGAATAACATTCACTATTTATCCCTCTTTTGGAATACCATAAACTGTACTGTTGTGTACTCTGTTACTTAAATACAAAAATATAAAGGAATTTCTAAATTTTTTTCTCTCAATTGTTGTTTTTCCAGGATCAATTTATGTTTATTCCTGGCTCTTGGAATGAATTGAATATTGATTTTTTTCTCCCGATTTCAGAAACCAATCCCAGGTGCTAGTTGTTTGATAACAGGCTGGGGCGATTTGCTAGAAGGTGGTTCAAGTCCAGCCAGACTTCACGTAGTCGACGTACCGTGGATCAGTAACGAAAGCTGTACAGAGTATTATGGTGCACCTGGTAAGTAATTTTTTGCAAGAAAACTTCTTTACGCACGTTCGTTTTATGCGAGTTTCCATGTAACGAAAATATGCAACGCTAAGCAATTAATTCCTTAACTCCTTTTTTGGTATGTTTGAAGAAGTTTCACTTCAGTAGCGTGTTATATTTTTTATTTATTTTCAATAGTGATCACCTACAATATGATGTGCGCTGGATCGCCGGAAGGAGGAAGAGACGCTTGCCAAGGAGATTCTGGAGGCCCATTAGCAGTCGATGGGGTTCTCATGGGCGTAGTTTCGTGGGGTGCTGGATGCGCCAGGCCCAACCGGCCAGGAGTTTACGCTTACTTGCCCGCTGTGAGGCAATGGATCAACGAAACGACAGGACTTTGATTGATTCATGATAATTGTAAAATGGATAATAAAGGGATTTTCCTAAAAAATAGTAGAAGTGGAATACAAATATTTATTTCTATCTTTCAAGTTTCAGTTCAATTTGAGCTAATTTCCAGGAGAGGAGAGAGAGGCTCTAACCTTGTTAGTGGAAATTTCTTCCAAACTACCCAAAATAACAGTCTCAAACTTGCAGAGAAGAATGAGGACTAATGAAGCTAGATTAGGGTATATATCAAAAATTTTACTTGGTATAAAACAACCCAAAGTTACCAAACATAATGATACAACGTTGATGAATGGCGCTTCTCTAGATTTAATTAATTGTTTTTCTAATCACTCTTACAAGATTGACAAACTGTCTATATTACTGAAAATTATTCTTAACGTCAATACATACCTACACATTAACAATGGACTTTCTATAAAGGTGATTTATATTCAACACTCCCTTTCAATTTAAACTCGATAGATTTTAAATTGGAATTATAACAAAAATAAAATATCTTAAACATTAGTCACAAGAATGTCACCTACCCATAATACCAACCATAGATGGAGTCCAAAATATAGACAGAAGTAATTTCCTGATCTAGTTAAATTATTCTTATTTGCGAACCTGTTAAATCTTTCATTCCACATCTTTGGGGCTTCCCGAAGACCATATAATGCGTTTTTTAGTATCGAACAATCAAATTATCGTTGAATTACTACTCCTTCTGGTATTTTTATGAAAATATAAATGTTGAGCTCCACTGTTGGTATATCTAATTGCGTAATTTTCCAATAATTATTCTGTACAGAGCATGAGCTTTGAGCATCTTTATAGTTGAATATCTAGCTACTGGTGCATAAACATTGTAATTCATTTCTTTCTGATATCCTTTTGCTACCTTATCTTTTCAATCCATTTTGCTCTGTTGTAAATATCCAGCGTGTATCAATGGCCATCTTCCCTTCAGGTAGCTCTGCTGGCTTCCAAGTTCTGTATTTTTCATGAGCTTGAAGTTCCTTGTCTTTTGCCTCTCTACAGTAATTTCCAGCTTGAACTGCTTCAGTATAGTTCCTGGCAGAGCTGGGCAGTGCTTGAGTGCTTTGTGCTTGTGAAAGTGCTTGAAGCACTTTGAGGACTTGAAAGCCCTGTGCTTCAAGCCCTTTTATGTGTTTGTAATTGGGGCTTGCAAAGTCAATTACTTTAGAAAAGTGCTTGGTAATTTGTAATTGAAAAAAAGTAATTCAAGCCCTTTCAATGAGCTTCAATTACTTTTAGAGGGCTTGAAGCACTTTTGGGTGCTTGAAGCACTTTAAAAGGGCTTGAAGCACTTTAAAAGGGCTTGAAACACTTTAAAAAGGCTTGAAGCACTTTAAAAGGGCTTGAAGCACTTTGAAAGGAATTTAAATTGACTATCATTTAACCTATCCCCCACCTAAAAATTTTCGATCGATGTGTTTTGTTGTTGTTTTTTTTCTATTATTTGAACTAGAATTGTCCAATGTCTTTTCTCCTAACAATGGAGGTTTTGAGTTTCAGTTTAGTGTTGGATTATTACAACAAAAATAAATCCTATTGCATATTGTAAAATAGGTATTTCTTTATCAAGCACGTACATTCAAAATTGAGTCTCCAAAGACACAATAAATAAATAAATAAATTATGCAGATAAGTCTAGACAGTCTACCTAGAAAAACCTTTTAAAATTATATTCTCCTTTGTACCTCAATAAATAAGATGTTCTAGGATTAGGTAGAAAAGATAGTTTGGTAGTTTACCTATCATATTTTGTTTGGTGTTAAGATTATTCTCGTTATAACTTTAGTTAGTGTATGACGTTGCCTTTCTGCGTGGAATTAAAGATTCTATTTAAAAACATTATCTTGTTTCAATTGTTGTCCTATATCCTATTTCCAATAGGTTATGGACACAGGACACTCGATTGAAAAATTAATTTTTTTTATTCAGTTTATCGTGAAATAACCGTGTGAAATTAAAGTGAATAACTTTTTAAAAAGTTCAGTTAAAAAAATGGAAAGTGCAAGTGAAAAACGGAATATTAAATAATTTAATGGTCAAGGATACAGTGCGTGGAAATTTCGCGTTCGCGAATTATTAACCGAATTAGACGTGATCGAAGTAATTGACACTGCAATTCCGAGTGATGTGACTGTTGATTGGATAAAAGCTGAAAAAATAGCTAGAAGCAAAATCGTAAACTATTTGGATGATGCTCATCTCAGCTTTGTTAAATCTGGATTAACTGCAAAGCAAACTTTTAACAATTTGGATGCGATTTATGAGCGTAAAAGTACAGCTACACATTCTGAAGAAATTATATTCTCTAAAACTGGAAGGTGACACAACTTTATCGCAGCACTTCAAAACATTTGATGATTTAGTAGTTGAATTAACATCAGCAGGAGGCAATAAAAATAACTTGGACATAGTAGCTGCGTTGTTAAAAAGTCTTCCCTTATCCTATGACAATGTTGTGACAGCAATTGAGACATTAGCAGAAGACAATATCACCCTCGAATTTGTAAAAATCCGACTCTTAGATCATGAAGTGAAATTGAAAAATCAAGATCGTGATACAAGTTCAAAAGTATTACATGTTGATGCCGATGACACCCCATTTCATAACCGAAATACCCATATAGCACAAAATATTTTTGGGATATTTTTTTTTTTGATCCAACAATGGATATTTTTTGAACAACGCTAATAAAATATTTTTAAAAGATTCAAACAACATTTGTGACCACAAATTGGTTTGGAAATGTTCAAAAAATGTTTTTAAAATGTATTCAAAAAATACATTAGTTTTACAAACATATCCAAAATAATATTTTTAAATGGATATTTTTTGAACATCATAAAAACATAATGAAAAGAATATTTTTTTCCCCACATTTGCTGAACATTTTTAAAACATTCGGTCTCTAGAGTCTGGCTCGAGACTTAGGGTAGGTTATAAAACCATTTTGACAGACCAACTAAAAGTTAACTTCTGGAATGACGTTACTTCTCATAGTAATTCCAGAACTTGACTTTCAGTTATCTGTCGAAATAGTTTTATAATACAAGTAGGTACACAATGTCACAATCGCACAGTTCATCGATCAACAAAATGACAACGGCTCGACTATCAAAAATTCCAATTCTAAATTGTACGATTGCTTTTGACCGTTCTAGAACCGTCCTTTTTTCGAACCAAAACAAATCTTTTGATTTGATTGAACTTGTCCGTTTGCTGTTTCTAGGGCCATACCTCTACCTGCTACCGGTTGAATTAAATCGCAGTGTTGTCAGCTAGTAACCACTGTAACGGTAAAGTAAAAATTGCCATACCTGGGGTAGTATTTTCGAATATTCTCGCATACGAAATTTGATAAGATTTCGAATTTAATTTACATTGCTATCAATCAAATTTCGTGTACGAAATATACTGGAATGAATTCGAAAATACGACCAAAGCCATGAAAGCTTCCAAATATAAAAAGGGTTCTGGCAACACTGGTAGTTTTGTGCTACTTTTTGAGGCGGACGGGACACCGGCGTGGCGCATCTAGCGGCTACCATTCAGGAAATCATCTGCGTTAGTGCGTTAACGTTACATCTAGAAATAAAATAAAGAAATCTATAAACATAAAGTAATTGATTGAATCCTTTTTTATGAAGTTAGTTTAAATATTTTCTCCTTCGTCATCCTCATATAAATCAGGAATATTATTTTGACAACTTTTGCAGGAACAATCGCTGCAGCATGTTAAACCCTCTTTCAAGCAGACACATTTATTATTTTGACATAATTTATCTTCGCAGAAGACATTCATTAGTTGCCTTATATCCATTGGTATGGGATCAGCAATCATCAAAATAGGCTCAAAAATTCCATTATTCCTAGTCCAAACAAAGTTAACAGGGTCAATTATAGGCATAATAGATATATGACTGGATATCCATATACGCAGTTGATATATGCACCTGAAATTTTGTTTATCGCATAAATACAGCTTCTTTTGTTATATATACACCTAGCTCAGTACATGCCTGGTAAAATGCATCATCTGTGGGTAGAAGTTCAGAAGCGGATTTATTGGAAGTTGTGGTCAATTGATATCTCAATTCATCGAGGGTTTTTGGGGCCTCGTTCTTATTTCTGAATAGGGCCAATGCAAATTTGGTGGCAATATAAGGTTCCAAGATTTTTAGAAAATACATTTTTTGCCTTTGCATTTGTAGTATCGCATCCTGTTGACACATGCAGCGCTGGTAAACATTTATAAACTTCATATTCCAGTTTCTGCACTATTTATTGGAATGATCCGTTTTTTATTCCCTTGTCCTAATTCCATAAAAAAGTAGGTTTCTTTCAAAGAACTTACTTCAATAAATTCAGAATAATGGTAAATAAGTAATACCAGAACATTTGCATCTGCAGACTTCACCAAAACTTTTTTTTGGTGAAGTATCTGATATTCATATAAGACGTGGATTATGATCAATATCATCATGATTCGATCTCAAATCTTTCAATGCGGTTACACGGTTACACCATCCTTGTTGACAGAAGAGCATAACTCTGGATCTTCAAAATCACCAGCGATGATCAGAGTTTCTTCTATTTGTCAGCTAAATGTTCCAAAATATAACCAGTTACAAATTTCAATAGGGATTCTCCATTTTCTGACAATTTTAAAAAATTCCGAAATTTCATCACTTTTCTCTTTCCAGAAACTTCATACGCATACGTATCTGCGAAGTTACTTCTTCTGCGTCTTTCCAAAGATTTGACCGATGCATCTATTAAAAACCACCGTTATCTTCAGTGCTTCATACCTTCGACCAAGTGAAAGAATTTGCTTCAGAAAAATACATGCGATTTTATTAAAAGTTAAGTTGAAAATGCTTTATCATTTAGTCCTTGAATAAGTACCATGCCATCTATTATAAGTGAATTGAAGGGGGTGTGACCCAAAAATGAAGTTTTAGTGCGAAAAAATTTAAGTACAAATATTTGAACCGCATCTTGCTACGATGAACCGTTTTCGAGTATA